CGCCCTCAGCCCCGCTCTGTCCCGGGGTGCCCTGCCGCCCCTAGGGTGGAAGCTGGGAGCGTTGGGTGGGAAAGGGAACTTTCTGACGCCGTCGGCCTCCCCGCAACACTCGCCGCAAAGGCTAACGGACCTGTGGTCCCCCTCGATGCGTCTTGGGCACCTCATGCTGCCCCACCCCCGCGCCCCCAAGCCCTCTTGGCTGATGGCGACCCCTCCCACACACGCGCGCGCACACTGCAAGCATCCCCAGGGCGGCGGGCTGCAGGCCTGCCTGCAGCCCCTTGACAAACGCAAGGTGATATGGCACGTTGTGGGCGGGGAATCCAGGTGCCTGCTTCCCATCTGGGCTGTCACATGACTCACCACCCTGGTCTCAGCCTCCTCACTCAGCCCTGCCTGTCACCTTTGAGTAATCCAGCACCTGGCTCAAATATTCTGTAGTCTGGCAGTGCCAGGCCTGGTGGCCTTGGGCCTGGTTGTGTGCCCGTGGGAGGGGACAGTCTGGTGCTCTCACCAGCTTCGTGGAGTGACTGTGCTCTCGCCCCACCGTGTACCCATAGGCCACCAGGGCAGGCCTGTACTGGCATGGGATGTTTGTAAACAGCAGGGTGGGGAGGTGGCCTCCAGGGTACTGACTCAGACACGAGTTGTGCAAGCTAAGCGGGAAAAACAGGGCAGGCCCTGCACCCCGGTGGGGGGAGACACTCTTCCCCCCACAGGGTGGGGATAGAGCATGGAGTCCCTAACACTCCTCATGGCTGCTCTTCCAGGCTGGTGTTTGGGATGCTGTATCCAGCTTATGCTTCCTATAAGGCTGTGAAGACCAAGAATATTCGTGAATATGTGAGTGCAGGAGTCGTGGGCTGTGTAGCAGGACTCGGTGAGGAGGGGAGTGTCTAGGCTGGCCTCCCCACTGCCAGGGGCATGGTCATGTGGCCATTCTGAGTGGAGTGGCGAAGGAGACGTTAGACCCTGTTCAAGTGGGATGGCTGGAGACAGGCCATTGGGAGCCCGTGGAGGACCTTGTGGGTGAAGTCCGTTGGGGATAGGCACAGGAATGATTGGCAGTTTCTCAGCTTCCAGTCCAACCAGGCGTGGGGGAATGTGGCAATGCAGCAGGACAGGCTCTCTGGAATCTCCGGGCTGGGCCAGCCGGGGATGGGAGTTGGTACAGCAGGCTCCACGCTGAACCTGCCATCTCTGCCCTACAGGTCCGGTGGATGATGTACTGGATCGTCTTTGCACTGTTCATGGCGGCAGAGATTGCCACAGACATCTTTATCTCCTGGTATAGATGCAGGGGTTCAGTGGGTTGTGGCACAGGGTTGGTCCGCCCTGGGCCTGGCTCCTTGGCTCACCCTGCCACCTTGTGCTCTGCCAGGTTCCCTTTCTACTATGAGATCAAGATGGCCTTTGTGCTATGGCTGCTCTCCCCCCATACCAAGGGGGCCAGCCTGCTTTACCGCAAGTTTGTCCACCCATCCCTGTCCCGCCATGAGAAGGTACCCCGGGGGAATGTGGGGAGGGAAGCTTAGGGGTAGGTATGGGGCAAGAGCCCTGGACCCAGGGTTCAGGATGCTTGTGACCCCTGGGTTCTAAACCCCAACCTGTTGCTGTGGAGCTGGGAGACTTTGACGGGACCTGGCCTACCTCATCTGCAGGGATAATCAGCTGGAGGCATCTGTGAATTACCTTTTTTTTTTTTCCTGGAGTTGGAGTCTCACTCTGTCACCCAGGCCGGAGTGCAGGGGCACGCGCACGGCCACCCCAGCGTCGACCTGCTGGGCTCCGGCGATCCTTCCGCCTCAGCCTTCCGAGTAGCCGGAACTACAGGCATGCGCTACCACGCCTGGCTAATTTTTTTATTTTACTGTAGAGACGAGGGCTCGCCAACTTGCCCGGGCTGGTCTCAAACCCACGGGCTCAGGCAGTCCACTCGCCTCAGCCTCCCAAAGTGCTGGGATTACAGGCTGAGCCACCGAGCCCGGCTGTGAATTACTTTTGAGGATGGAAGTTGGTTTGTGGAAGGGGCAGCTGGAGCATGGCTGCTCATGAAGATGGGGGCTTGGCCCGACTCTGTGGCTCCTGGATACTGGGGGTAGAGGGGCTGGAACTTCTGAGGGTCTACAGAGGAAGAGCGACTCCAGCTGTTTGCCTGAGCTCTGCCCCCATACCCTGCAGGAGATCGACTCATACATCGTGCAGGCCAAGGAGCGCAGCTACGAGACCGTGCTCAGCTTTGGGAAGCGGGGCCTCAACATTGCCGCCTCAGCTGCTGTGCAGGCTGCTGCCAAGGTGCCCAGGGTCCCCAGCCCTCCAGAAGCCCCCGCCCCGCCCCAGTGCCTTTGGGGCCAGTGTGGCTCTTCTGCCAGCAAGCCTGGAGAGCAGCCGGGGAGCAAGGGTGAGAAGTGAGGGGTGTTGGCAGGAGCGTGGAGCCAGAAGTACAGCCCATTCGGGCTCTGACATCGAGCATGAGTGGCGGTTCCTGCTCTCTTGGCCTTGGTTGCCTGTTGTTGCTACAAAGATGGAGCAGAAGGGTGTTGAGTTGCTTTCAGTTCTGAGTCCCAGCCCGGTGATTAGCCGCCGGTTGGCCCTTGATTTCCCCAGCAGTTTCCGTGCTGGAGCTCCTTCTGTCCCCCACAGAGTCAGGATGCGCTGGCTGGCAGGCTGCGGAGCTTCTCCATGCAGGACCTGAGTTCCATCTCCGATGCCCCTGCCCCCTCCTACCAGGATCCCCTCTACCTGGAGGACCAGGTGCCCCACCGGAGGCCACCCATTGGTGAGTGGACAGAGGGCCCTGAGCACTCCCAGAGGGACTGCTTCTGCCCCAGAAATCTTGGCTTCCCCCAGGGCTGGAGGAAGACCTGGCTTGACCTCAGGCCTTCAGCATTACCTCCCTGGCCTCTCCTGCACACAGGATACCGGGCAGGGGGCCTGCATGACAGTGATACCGGGGATGAGTGTTGGTCGGATACCGAGGCAGTCCCCCGGCCACCAGCACAGGCCCGAGAGAAGCCGCTGAGCCGCAGCCAGAGCCTGCGAGTGGTCAAGAGGAAGCCGCCAGCACGGGAGGTCAGTGGCGAGGATGGCGTGAGGGGCAAGGGCCAGCCCCGTGGCCCATACCTCTCACGAAGTGCCATTCTCTCCCCCAGGGCACCTCACGCTCCCTGAAGGCTCGCACGAGGAAGAAGACTGTGCCCTCGGACTTGGACAGCTAGGGTCTGCAGCGGTCCTGTTTTATCTTGTACCCTCAGGGTGCCTGGGGCTGTGTGGAGGGACCCTTGACTTCACATCTGGCTGGCCTGCACCAGCTGCCTCGGCCCTACCCCCCTGGCTTCTGCTGGTGGTTGAGGGCCGGGGCGGATGCTGCTGGGGCCACTTAGAGGGATGCATCTACACTGTACCAAAGAGGACAGGGCCCAGAGTTCTATTTATTGCCTTGTCGGCCCTCAACCCTCCCCAGCTGTGGGGCCAGAGCCCTCCCTGAGCCCCTGCAAATGAAACCAAAAGATCACCCAGCTGTGATCATTCTTTCCTGTTCTTCAAAGTACTTGACAGCCTTTATGGAGGCCTGGTGTGCGTGTCCTGGTGGTATGTGTGTGCTGGTGAATGAGGTCAGGTTTGTGGATGTTTTGATAAATAAATACATGAAGTTGTCTGTTTCTTCTGATTGGTATTGCCACTCTTCACATCATGCATTTGAACTTAATCAGCCCCCTCCAGGCCAGTCCCAGCCGAGAGCTAGGGCTAAAGGAGCCCCATCCCCCTCTGGAGCCGTTGATCCATAGCTGTGATGCAGCGAGTGTTTTCATGAAGCAGCTCTGGGGGTTTCTGAGAGCACAGATGGGATGGGGAGACCACTCCCCAGAAGGGGTTAGGGTCTGAGAAGCTGTCAGGAGGCAGGAATTGGGCCTTGGCAGGAAGATGCAACTGTAAAGAAATGGCGTGGGAAGGGGCTCTGAACAGCCCTGTGGGGATGAAGGGATGCACAGACAGGCCTGAGGGGGTGGGCATTTCCTCTGTGCGGGGGAGGGAGAAGGGTTTGGGCAGCTCCAGGGTCCTTGAGTTCTATAAACACTCAAGTGACAGCAGGAGTAGCACTGCACCTCGGAGGCGTGGCCACGAGAGGGCAGCAGCAGCCAGGATCTGAGCTGCCCCCGGCTTCCAGGTCAAGGAGGGCGGGCTTGGAGACTGGCCAGAGCCTCGCCCTGCCGGGGCCTGGCGGAACTCCTGCCGGCCTCCAGTGGCCTTCCCTGCTCCTTGTGGTCACTGGTCCTCGGCCTGCCCCATCCACGGAGGCTCCTCTGCTCTTCTGAGACCCGGGCTCTTTGCCTAACTGGCTCCACTCCATCCCCTACTCTAATCCCTGGGGTGGCTGGTGCTCGGCCGTGCCCTCTCCTGTCCCTGGACACGGGTCTCACCACAGTGCCCAGGGCTGCTCCCCTCTCCCACCACACGTCTGCTCCTCCTTCCTGCTTTCAATTAAGCAAAGAGGTGGCTGAGTGTGTGGGGTGAGACGGGAGATGGGGTGGTAACCCGGAGTGGCCTGAGAGTGTGGATTAATTCTTGGTGTGGGGATTATCCGGGTTTATTGGGGGCAGGCCCTTAATCTGCCGGGGTGACTTAGCTCTTCACATATTGGTGCTCAGTGGCTTCCTATCATGGCCTTCCCTTGCATCTCAGCGTTGTCTTATCTCCTTCTTCATTCGAAAAAAATCTCTATTGAGCAAGTACCAGACACATTGTCAGACACTCAGGGATGCACACTAGTGGGGCTGACTCCTAGAGTGTGGCCACCCCACGGCAGAGGCTGCTCTGAGCCCCAATGTGTATGATATATATTTTTTGAGTCGGAGTCACTCTGTCGCCCAGGCTGGAGTGCAGCGGCATGCTTACAGCCAACCCAGCGTCGATCTGCTGGGCTCTGGGATCCTTCTGCCCCAGCCTTCCAAGTAGCTGGAACTACAGTCGTGCGCTACCTACCACGCCCAGCTAATTTTTGATTTATTGTAGAGACGAAGTCTCGCTGAGTTGCCCGGGCTGGTCTCGAACCCGCGGGCTCAGGCCATCCACTCCCCTCGGCCTCCCAAAGTGTTGGGATGACAGGCTGAGCCATTGAGCCCCGCCCCCAATGCATATTAAGGTAGTCCTCATGACAATCTCGGGAGGTACATACTATTGTTATAATCTCCATTTTACAAACAGGAAAACAGGCACGGAGAGGACAAGTGATCTGCCCAAGGTCACACAGCTAGCAGGTGGCAGAGTTGGGCTTGGAACCAGGAAGTCTGGCTCCAGACTGTGTACTTAATCATTGTGCTGTATAGAAGAAGTAAATGCGATGTCTCCTGCCTGGGAGGCAAGGGGAAGGAGACTAGCATGGATGGAACATTTGCTGTGTCTCTGCCCTTGTGCTGGGCATTTTGCGGAGATGACTTCCTTGAATCCTCCCAACGAGCCTATCACGTAGGGGTTAGATCCATTTTACAGATGAAAAACTGAAGTTTGGTGAGCTGCAGCGACTTGCTTGCGTGTGCTCTGGGGACCCTGTCTCCTGATGCACCTCTGCCCAGGAACTGAAGGCATAAAACAGAAGAGCCTGTGAGCAAAATGAAACAGAGTCAAAAGGAGGGTTGGGGCCTGAATTTGTGGGGTGGTGAGGAAGACTTCATGGGTGGGGTGGGGTCTTCAATTGCCCTTCTTTGTATGTGTGTGTGAGTCAGGGTCTCATTCTTGGTCCTGGCTGGAGTATAGTGGCACGATCAAGGCTCACTGCGGCTTCAACTTCCTGGGCTCAGGCGATCCTTTGGCCTCAGCCTCCCAAATAGCTGGGATGACTTTGGGAGGTCAAGATGGGGGGATTGTTTGTGTCCTTTCTAGTATGGGTGCTTAGAGTAGCAGCAGGGTCACTCGGGTGCCTTGGCAGTGTTGGTGACGCTCTGTACTTTCTGCTTTGTCGTCAGACTGTCTTGTGGCTCTATGCACCTGTCCATGCTGTTCCCACACATGTTCTCCTTCCCCACCCAACTCTGTCCTGTTCCTATTTACCCTTCGACCAACCGCACTCAGACATGGCCTCCCGGGAAGCCCTCTACGAGCGCCTCCTCCCTTGGAGTGGCTCGCTCCTCTGGATTGTACCATCTCCCCCCATCCTTGCCCGGATTTCTGTTTTAGCCTCGAGTGCATGGTATTTTCTCCCCTACGGTGTTGTGACTTCACAAAGAACATATTTTACACACTGTTGTGTCCCAGCCTGGAGCAAATGGCTTGACCAAAGTAAAATCAATATGTTTGAAAGTGCGTGATTCAGTGACGAAGTCCTGCTCATTCTTTGACCTCCTCCGTGAAGCTCCCCCGACTTCCCTAGCGTGGGACTAGAAACATCTTGTGATCATTTGTTAATAAGCCCAACTGCGAGACAGTCAGCCCATAGCACCTGGCACAGAGCCTGACACCCAAGAGGCCTTCAGGAGTGTCTGCTGGTAAAAGAACAAATGTACTAAGTGACCATAGCTCCTCAAGGCGGAATGGCATTGTGCTTTCTGTCCCTGTGCCCTGTGTCGCCGAGGGCCACAGAAAGTCTTGAAGAGGACAGGGTCTCTACAGCACAGGCTTAGTGAGTAGCTGACAGCAGTTGCGTGGATTCTAAGACTTGCTGGGGCCAGAGGGGAAGCAGCCAGAAGTCCAAGTTCTGGGGCATTTCTGGGCAGGCGCACATGTGATCCTGAGCCTTGGGGCAGTGTATGTCAGCTGGGCTTCCCTCAGAGCCGCCCTGTCCCTCTGTGACCTACCGAGACGTCACCTCTGCCCACAGTAGTTGTCCTCTGGAGGGGCCTCCTGGCCCATCCTTCAGTCCCTCTGGTCTGGCCTCTAGTGGAAGGCTAGGTCGCCCTCCAGCCTGCCTGAGGCCTCCAACTTTCTCCTCGCTGCCAGCCAGTGTGCCAGTTGCCTCCCCAGACAGGATCAGGGCTAGGCAGGAGCAGGAAGCAGCCAAGGCCAGCCCTCTTAGAGCGGCACACCTCCGCTTGGTCCCTGACCGGGCCCCACTCAGATGTGCGCAGGGTCACTCTTCAGCCTCCCAAGTACCTTATCTGCTTCTGAGAGGCTCCCCTACTTCCTCCCAGCTTCTGGGTGCCGAAGGCCTTTCATTCTTGCCCTCTCTTCTTCCTCCTCCCTCCACCTCCCACCATGCCGTGGCACTTCCAGGTGGCTCCTCTATCTCCCCATCTCTCCAGCCCCATCACTATCTCTCTTGGCCTGTGGCCCTCAGTGTCCTGGTCCCCTTCCCCGCCACTGGCCTCCACGTCACAACACATACAGGCTCCACTGCTGTATTTTTAGCTGCCACTGATTAGCCTCTAGTTCCGACACAGCCCTGGCCAGGCTGAGCTGGGGAGTACTGGCTGGCACCCTCCATCCTTGAGGATGTTGAAGAGACGGGCACTCAGGCTCTGGCCAGCATCAGGGACTGGGGGCCCTGATAATGGGTAGAAGCCAGAACCCCAGGCAGAAGGACGACGCCTGCTTCTGGAGAAATCCTGGGGGCCAGAGTTGGTGGTGTCAGCTAGGCACAAAGGCCCTGGGACCAGGGCAGATTGGAGGTGGCTCTCTCTACCCTGGTGGGCAGCTGGTGGAGGTAGCCTGCAGGGGCGATGAGGTGGGGGGCAAGGAGGAGGGGCATTGGGAAGGTGCCAGCTGAGAAGAGGAAGTGGGTCAGGGATGTGGGTGGGGGGTGGCATCTGCCACAAAGCTTCCTCCTGGTTCCAAAAGCATCTCCACACTTCCCTTCCCCTTTCCCCTTCCCTCAGGTCCCTAGAGAATTCTCCCCGGTATTCCCCCTCCCCCACCCCCAGGCGTGGCCACAG